ACACACGCACACACAGACAGACACACACACACACACACACACACACACACACACACACACACACACACACACACACACACACACACACACACACACACACACACACACACACACACACACACACACTCACACACAACCACACATACACACACACACACACACACACACACACACACACCACACACACACACACACAAACACACCACATCCACTACACACACACACGCAACACAGACAGACAACACACACACACACACACACACACACTCACACACACACAGACACACACGCGCGCGCGCGCACGTGCAGCATCCGGGTCTCAGAGGCGTAGAGTACCCGCAGCTCTGTGCGCCTGGCGAGGGAATGTCCTGGCCCCACTCTGAGACAGCCCCCTCCCCCCCCCCCCCCCCCCCCCCACCCCCTCCCCCCCCCCCCCCCACCCCACCCTGGGATTACGACCTCAACTCCTCCATCCTGCGCTCCAGGTGTTCGGATGTTGCTGCGTAGCTGTTCCCAGGTTGCGCTCGGGAGAGCCCAAGGTCAGACCAGGAAAACACGTTGATACCCCCCCCCCCCCCCCCTACACCTTATGTCGCCTGGATTCGCGCCAGGAAGGCGATTCGCAAGACCCTTTACATTATGAGAGTTAACACTGCTCGAGGTGGGCTTTTGCCACCTACCGCGCAACAGGCTGAGGATCAGACCAGTCCGCTGCAAGAGCGCGGGATGGCCTCCCACCTCGTAGGCAGAGTTTTTCATCTCGCTGTCAGTCTCAGCAAGGGAGATTTCGCCCATGAGATCCAGCTCGGACAGAAGGCTGAGGCCAACCTTCTCCTCTTCCACTCCCTTGCCCCTGTCTGGCCCCCCCTCCAGCTGGCCTCTGCCCAGTTTGTCAAGAAGAGCATAGATTTGTTTGAGCACCTGGTGTCTTTTATAGCGAGTAAGCATGAGCAGTTGCAGAAGGCGCTCGATCATGACTTCAGTGCCTTTTTGATGCAACTTGAGCAGGGCGCCAAAACCTCGATTGACGGCAGGAACAGCAGGGCCGAATGGAACCATGTGCGCGCGTTGTTGAGCTTCGGGGGAAAAATACACAGGGCCCCTCTGGTGATCCCTATTAAGAGGACCCCCTCTGGAGCCATAATAAGTACCCCGCAAGAAGACTCTGACGATAGGCAACAGCATGTTGCTAAGGTTGAGTCAGGGGCTGAGTTGTCACGAGAACATTTCCACATGGACTACAATGCCGGCCAAGGGAAGTTGAATCAAGAGGTTGAGCGGAGGATTGAAAATCTCATCCTCAAAGCTGAGGTTGAGCTTTTGATCCGCCGGGCCCCCAAAGGAAAGGCCCCTGGTCCTGATGGGATCACGAATGATCTCCTGCGCGCGGCCCCCAAGGAAACCTCGCGGATCCTTCGCCCCCTCATGGTGAAAATGGGCCTGACGGCCACTGGACCTGTTGAGCTCAGGCTCGGACAGGTGGTTTCTTTTTACAGAGGAAAAGGCGACATTAGCTTGGCGGCTTGCTACCGCAGCATTCTCTTGTCTAACACCATCCTCAAGTTGTACCATGCTCATGTCCGCTCCAAGGCTAAGAATATCATCTTTAGCACCCTGCGGGAGGAACAATGCGGTGGCCGCCCTGGCGTGGGGACTGATTTTGCTTGCTTGTACGTGCGCAATAGATTGCGCGACGTTGCGTTTCGAAAAAAGACGGCCATCGTTCTGTTTCTTGACCTTGTTGCCGCCTTTTATTCTGTGGCGAGGCAACTGGTCCTCGCCCTCCCGCACGAGGAAGAGCAATTTTTTGCGGCTGTCTCGGACCTGCCGATTCCTCTTGCGTTCCGATACGCGATCTTGCTGCTGGCGGAGGACCCAACCCTGGGCGCCCTGATCGAGGACCAACGCCTGTTGGAGTTGGTTCGCGCCACCCAAGCGGGGTCGTGGTGGCAGTTTCGGGGATCTCAGAAATATGTGGCCCCGACCCTCGGCACGAATCCTGGTGCGGTTTTTGCTTGCGACATGTTCAACGCCGCGTTTGCTCCGATCGTCCGAGGGATTCAAGGAGACATGGAGCAACACCAGCTGATTTCGGAGCTTCCTGGATGCGAAGGTCCGTTCCTGGGAATCGAGGGCCCTGTGGCCCCGCTGGCCTCCTCCGCGTATGTTGACGACAACACCACGATTGGAGAAGGCGAAGATGCCAGCTTGGCCATTTGCGTTGCTGACAAAATGTTGGACATTGTGTATATGCATGTGAGTAACCACGGTCTGTGGACGAATGGCTAAGACCGCTTGTAAAAATTCCAGAATTGCCCAGCAACGCCTTTTTGGAGACAGCACTGGAGCGGGTGCTGAGGTTTGTCTCAAGCGATCACGCGGTCAAGGTTCGCGTTGTGAGAACCTATAAGCTGCTCGGGACTTACCTCACTGATAAAATGAACCTTAATGACGAGATCAACCACCGCGTGAGCTCCATGAGAGCTGATCTTCGGCCTAT